GAAAAAAAAGAAGGAAAGAAAATGGATTTTCTTTGATTTTCAAATCACTTGTAAAGTATTTAAATTTTAGTCCGAGCGAAACTTTTTTCACAGAACCTGTTCAGCTTCTCTAGCCATCTAGTGAATATCATACCCGCCATAAGTCTCGTCGCTATGATTATTACCATCAGAATTGCCAACGTAGGCGAAAAATCTATCGTGAAGACGAGCGTCATATTTCACAATTTTATTTTTATGTTATCCTCCTCTTCTTCGCTCCCTGGCTCTATAACGATGTACTCGTTCACCATGATTTCACTATTTTTATTCCTTTATCCATTTGATTAAAATTTATTTTATAAAAATCGATAAAATTTCTGCATTATATCCCGCTACAATTTTTATAACGAATAAATCTGTTTTTTTTGAACTGTTTGATTCAAATTTATTTAAAAATGAAAATCAATGAAAAGTTGAATCCATGTTGAATGAAGTGATTAAAAAAAAAAAAATTGAAATATTGTACTGCATTGTGAATATTATTTGTATTAATAATATTGTATAAGTCCTATTGTTGGAAAAATTTTTGCGCGAAATTTCGTTCTTTTTTTTTTTTGTCCTCTTTTCGCGAAAAATGAAAAAGACTTCATTATTGGAACTGGAATTGGAAATCAAAAAATTTTTATAACGTTGGAATTTTACAGATTACGTGCCATCTAATTACCCATAATATCCATTTGACGTCGAAATTGTAATATCATAAGAGAGAAGTTTATTACCCACGCTTTGATCGTGTCAATTCATTAATATCATTAATTAGTAAATTATTGTGCAAGAGAGCCTTGATAATGCATTTTGCACTATGTGCAATAGCTATCATCGAAATTAATGCAAACTAATTCGTGTACAAACTAATACAATGTTTACAATGCATTAAAAAAGTCTAACGTAAAAATATACTATTATTTACTAATTTCAACTTTATCCGTATTGATTTGTTAAAAAATCGATGTCAAAATTAAGAAAAATTTTCACAATTATGAGAATATCTTCGATTGAATGTTAAAATAGAGATGCACACGACACGATTGTGATACGTGATTTCAAGAGATATGATGAGAAATCGATCTAATTTTTTTTTTTTTTTATGCAAAATATGATGCACTTCTGATCTTCCATTTATCGGAATGTATCATTGAAACAACAATCGATCCTATTGATTCTCGATCGAACATGGTCTTGCATGGTTCATTGTTTGTTCCATGGAGCATAATGAAAATGGATGATGTGAAATAGCGGCAATTGATCGAACGCGCCAACAATATAAATTGTACCGAGAATCATTCGTTCCAAATCTCATTATCTTCGTTTTCAGTATTAGCGAAATTATTTATTCATTTAGCCGATGAAAACTCTCGCGAATTTTAATAGAATTTCCATGGCATTTCTTAATTAGGGAAATAAATCAACACTCGCTGCATTTTATTCAATGCATCTGTTGCAGATTATTCAATAAAACGCAAATTCTATCTCGAGCGTATAATATTTAAAATTATTCAACGATATAAGAATCGAAAGAGAAGAATATCAAGAATATCGAGCATTCATAAAGCTTGATGTGTACAAACATCGCAACGTTTCAGGCAACGTTTAATCAAGTTTGAAATTGTCAAAGTGAGAAACGAAAGTTTATTCATTGGATCGCTTTTTACTTATTCATACGTCGAAGTAAAAAGTTTCGTTTGAAATATTGAACGTATACGAGCACGTATACGTGCAAGTAAAATCGTCGTTACTAACCGAGAATTGAATAATTAAAACTCGAAGTGAAACTCGAAAAAGGAAGACGTTTCAAACCATCACGTTCATCACCTTATACGTATACGTGTGAAATGCATAAAGATGCCGTAATTTCTATTATAGTCTGCTTCGAAGAATGTTAAAAATCTTATCCTCTGCATTCCAATTTTATCAATCTTATTAAATTGTTATACGTACTTTCTTGGTTATATAATTTTCCAATAAAATTTCAAAAATTAAATCAACAAAGGCAAATTTACAATTTAGAAAGCAAAGAACGTTTTTCATTAATACAAAAAAAAAAAGGAGAAGAAGAAAAAGAAAAGAGGATGCAGAAGATTAATAGAAAGTTCATTAAAATAAGTATTCTCTCGATAAATATTTATCTGTGGTAAGTGTATTCGTTCGAGTGTGAAAGTGTGGAGGAGGATAGTGGACGAGAGGGGAGATCGTGTAGAGTTGGAGCAAGCAACCAACTCCATCCACTTCCTTGGCATATTTCTTTCCCGAGGAAAGGTTATTTCGCGTAGTCGACTCGTAATCCATCCGTTTACTTCGGTAAGGATTGTATCGATCCGCGCTGCGCGTTGCAGCGCGCATTCGTACACGGGATGGATACGCGTCATTTGCGCGTGGACTCGTATCGTGTACCCAATGGATATCTGGACTACACACGTCCCACGTTTACACGTTCCCCTTATTGAAATATTTATCTCGAACAGTTAACTTTCTCGTTTAACACAATAACAGGGCAAACTAATAAGCATTTCTCGACACCGATTCGACGAAATCGGACAAATTATCGTCTCTCGTTCGATTCGAAATGTATGTGTCGCCTGTTCTTGTATTACCTACGTTCTGTAAATATAATATTTTTGTTTCTCGAGAATTCGGTTTCCATCACAACGGAACGAACCCATACATCTCGTGTAAAGTGAGAAAAACAATGACGTAATTAGGATATGGCGGAAATTAATCGACACGATTCTTGGAATAATTACCTCGTTGCAGATCTTGTTTCTTTATTTACCAATTTATTAATAACGTATTTGTTTTTACACAACACAAATATCTTCTTTTGTTCCCGATCATTTGAAAAATGTTTTAAAATTACCGCCACTGTAATAAACGCAGTGTAATAACAAATATGAAAAGCGAACAATTTTCGCTTGCCAGTTTCATTGCAAATATTGAACTAAGAAAATTATTATTATCCTGCTCCTTCAAACTGGGTGAGCTCAGAACAGAGGTAAAATAATTATCCAGACGAAACGCGAATGATGGCGTAAGGATGGCGAATTTCTATAAGCTAATTATATTTTAACGAGCTTCGAGTGACATTTAATCGTGGCAAGAATCGGCGAGGCGAAAGCATATGACGTGTGTTGAACGTGGGGAATCCATGCACGCGTTCTACATATCATATTTTGAATAAGGGATAAGTTTTAACGTGTATCTTGGCTTTGGAGGCGGAATTATGCGTTTATATTCTCGAGGAACGAGCTGCTCGTGAAATTTTATCGTCGTTATAACGCGAATCCTCCATTTTTAACGATGCTCGGCAAAAAGAAACTTCGCGATAACTCGCTGTGGATAAATTTAGTTAATTAATTATAAAACTTGCCCCCGTCTCACCTTACGAAAAATTCATTCGAAATTTGAACTTTGGAAGAAAAATTTCTCGCAACAAAGAGAGTATTCGAAAACGTTTTAATTACACGAAGGAGAAAATCTTTCTTTATTGTTGTTCCAATTTTCGTGAAGAATTTAGAGATCGTAAAAAGTTGTGTAGGATCGAGACGTTATTCATCGCGCAAATTTGATTCTAAATTTATCGAAGTTTATTTGAAATTAATAAAATAGATCAACGGAGAACATTCGATTTTAACTCTTTGTTTTGAATTTTAATATATTTTTTTTATCGGTGTTTGTCAGTTAATCAAATCAAATTTTATTGGCTTTCCGATATATGCTGCTTTATTTTTAACAACAACAACAACAACAATAAAAACAATAACTTCGATCTAATTATAAAACATACGAGTTCAACAACGATATAAATCGGATAGAACAATAATCTCGAAGCAAATAAACGTTTTGTCGTTTATCTGTGTTTATGTCCACCGTAAGTGCCACCTGAATGATCATTTCCTCCATAATTGTGAACTTCCGCGAAGAAACCTCCATGAGGATCCGAATGGTATTTAACGCTTCTCACGTTGCCCCCAGGCTCGTGAAGATGATACTCCCCTTCGACTTCTTTTCCTGCAATTTCGGAGAACCAATTTTCCAAAAATTCCAAACTAAAATATTCTCTCGTCTCGATGAAAGGAAGCAAAAACTTTGACAATTAAACTTCGTGGTTGTAATTAAGAGGAAGCTTTGTTGTCCAATTATAATTGTTCGAAATTCTAATTGAAGAACACGAAATCTCGCTCTCAATGTTTCGTATAATTGTTATACGTACCATCTCGATGCTCTTTCTGCCCATGGTGATCCTTCGTGTGTTTGTCATCCACGCCATACGCGAACTTGTATTTGGGATGGGCCCTGTAGTCGTGATGAAGGTGCCCGTGTTTGTCCTTCCAGGTGATCTCTTCGTGATGGCCCACCACTGGCCCAGAGAAGTGATGGAAGGAATGAGCGTGACCACCACCTCCTCCGTGTCCGTGTTCACTGCCAGCATCTTCGTTGTCTACAAATCGATATCATTTTTACGATCGAAAATTGTGAGATCGTTTTAGAATCCTTTTCACAGATAGAATTTAAGGTAACGAGACTCTATTATCACGAAACATTATAATTATTATTATAATTATAATGATCTTATACCCAATTCCTGATAGCTGGTTGGTTGCGCGTCAATCACGAGGACGAGCAGCAAGACAGCAGCACAAACAAGCAGGTTCTGAAATCGAATAATAAAAAAAAAGGAGAAAAATAAGAGAAGAATCTTATAATGGAACGCGATAATTAATATATTCGCGAGAATTAATCGAAACGAAGGATGGAGTGGGCCGATAGAAATTTCAATCATGGACGGTGGGGTTGACTCGGGGTTGGCTTCGAGTTGAAATTGCAGGACGACCATTATTCTTTGTCGTTAGAACGGAACGTTAGGGGGATCGCTTTGCCCGATCGCATAAAGATCTCTCGAGCACACTCCCTTCTTGCTTTACGATTACGACTTTGTAATACTTTGTCACGGATCCGTTTTAGGGAAGGTGGGCCACCCCACACCTCTTTAATCAATAACACGTGAGACACGAAATTGGAACGATCGATCGTGCACGCTCTCCCGTTTTCCTCGAAACGTGCGAACGGTTTTCCACGAGGGTTGTAATCCTCGTTTAATTGTTTCTTGACGAATCTCGTATCGATCAAACCAACCAGTCTTTCGACACCGCCTTTCACGGAGAGGTCCAATACTTTCGAGAAAAATAACTGGATCCTCGGTTCTTCCTTACCTTCGCCGACTCCATCTCTTCTTTCGCCAAGGATCGCCGATGGACTGTTGTGCCGGATCGCGAGAATCCTATTTTATAACAGCGTTCCACCGAACAATGCTCGTTAAAGCATTAATTTGTCCGTCATTGCTTGTCACCGATTTCGAGAGCAGGTGGTGAGAGAGAGGCGGTGGTGCTCGGTCGACCGAACGTTTCAACTTCGTTTCAAACTTCTTCGTCGGAACTGGGTCTAATTTTCGCCGAGCCTATTGATCGGTAATATTGCACGTAAAATCGTTGACAAAAATCGATTGGAACCGAGAAGTTTAGGGTTTCGAAATCTGTCGCAACAACAAAGTATCCTATAGATATATACGAATGGAGGATTTTAATTTCATTCATCCGAAATTATCGAGATATGCTTGTATACGCGCGAAACGATGCTTTAGCAGTTTTAATCAGGGTGAATATCTAGCGATAATTCGGGAGTAATAGGGCTACAATTATTCCCATGTCGGGTTCCGCTCGATTCCATTAAAGAAACCGTCCCTATCATATGTACGATCTGTAACTGTAAATTAGACCGTCAAGATTAATGAGCAATAAATTGCGCGTTTTCGACGATAGAGCGAACGAGTGTCAATATGTCGCCTGAATAGCCGCATCCCAGTGTGGCGATACAGTTTATTGTTGAATTTATTGCATTTCCGCGTGCCGCTCGCTCGCATGATACATTCATTCCTGGTTGAATTGTAATCTATCGATTCGATGGAAAGTCAAACACTCTTCTCTTTCTTCGCCCAACCAATTCGTCCCTCTCTCTCTCTCTCTCTCTCTCTNTCTCTCCTCC